GAATCACGTAACCCAAAAAGGATTTCTTATTTTTAAACCAGGTCATGACTGCAATAACTTTCATATTCTCAGCTGGCAAGAACACAGATCTCACCACCAGCACTGGCATCACAGCTGTGAGGTTCCAGAGGCTGCCATGCCAGCCCAGTGACTGTCCCAAATGACAGAGCACTCTGCAACTTAGTCATGTGTAGGCAAAGCAGGAGCACTGTCTCTTCATCTCAGCAGGGAGAAGGAACATGTATCATTTTCCTTTTCAAAACTGTTTGTAACCCAGCCACTGGGTTCTTGCTAGACTGATGTTTACCTTGCAAGTAAGATAGTTAGGGGACTGATTTTAAATACATACTTAAATAGCAGTACTACTTTTAGAGAGAGGCTTTTATTTAAACAGGCTACCTCACCAAGGGAATGACTGCTTAGTTTTCTCCAGGTTACTCAGAACTCTTAGCATTCGCATAATTTACAACATATTTCACTCTTGCAGAGCATCCTGCATTCCAAAGAACCAAAAGAACCCAACAAAAAACCCAAAGCATGTTGCAGATTTATAGGCATCTGAGGCCAAACTGATTTGGTTTTGTTACAGAAAAGAGGTCACTTCCGGGGTGACACATGGCAACAGCCTGCACTAACCAAGAACAGTGAGCCTGTTTGCTTGTGGGAGTGAAGGGAATTCAAAGCTTGGATTCTACAACAGAAAGATCAATACTTAACAATGCTTTCCCCAGAGAGGTGTCCTCACAGCTTGAGGATGCAGTGCAGTCAGCACCAAAAATGTGCTGAACCCTGCAGTATACTAATAGTATGCTTTATTCTACATCACAAGTGTTTGATGGCAAAGCTACACCTGAGTAGCATTTACTGGTGAAGGAGAGTTCAAGGCAAGTTTTAGTCACATACATTAAACCAAATTATACCTTCAAAATATGGAGACAGGGCTGAGCTTCTGAAAACCATGCAAAGTTTGTTCCTGTAAGCAGGTGAAGAGTAACTGTACAGTTGGTGAAGTATCTGTGAAACTTTAGGGACATCTTTGTGCATTTTGCCTAACAAAACTACTGAAGTCACAAGTCAGTTTGGAACAGAGGCTGAGAAGTGCCACTCAGGGGTATCTGACCCCACCTCTGGGCCTCATGAGCACAGAGGGAAGTGTCAGACTTGGGTATTGGGTTTGCATTACCACTCGCATGTTTGTAGATTTTCAGTTCCACACATAGCCTGGGACCAGTGCCATTCTAATAATAATCATATGTACAGCCTGTAACAGCTCTGAATTCATCTTCCCTTACTGAAATGCCAGAGCTCAGTCCACCAGGCACTTATGAAGGTTATCACAGGCAAAAAGATGATGTGGGGAAGTGGAAACATTACCAGCACTTTCCTTAGAGCCAGACTCATTCATAGGAAGATATTTCCCTGCTGCAGGTAGAAAAAAATCTGAAAAGAGTGTTCTTGTATGCAAGTCTGCAAGTGCAGAACTTGAATATCACTTAGGAACTGGATTTAACAAAGAACATGATACTGTGAGGTAAGGAAGGGAAGCCAAGAATAACAGTCAGAAGGATATAAAGATCAGTAAAGTTTTGTTTAAAAACGGATACAGCATAAGAGTGAGTCAGGAAAACATTTAATATAGAACATGCCTTTGAATAACCCTCTCCTTCACTAATCCCCTTCTACAGATGCACAGCAAAAGCCACATTTCCATGCCAAAACATGCATACAGTACCTCTGAATTCTCTAACATGCCAATCAGGAGCAAAGTGAAAAAAGGAAGACAAAGGAATAAAATTAGGACAAGCACAACACAGAGGACTCACATATTCAGTAAGACTCACTCATATTAATTAACATTTCTTTTAAGAAAAGCATTCAAGTATATTTAGCAAACACAGCATCTTTGTAAAAAAAATAGTAAATGGGGGAGAGATAATTCTGACAGCAAAGGGGGAAGAATCCATGGTTACAGAGCAATTCTGACATCATAAATCATGACCAAAACACAGAGGAAGAATTGTTCACTGACAGTCAGCTCCTACTCCCACAGATGGCAGTGACAGAAGCAGCTGACGTCAGAAGTGTAGGATTCAGGTATGTAAAATGAGAAAGGATGAAGCAAAATTATTACAACAGAGATTAAAAAGAGCACCCTATCCTTCCTCCCATAACAGAGTTCATTTTCTACCCTATGCAAACAATTCAAGCATTGTCTAGATGAGGAGATGGATGGAGCTAACTCTTCCAAGACTGCCTAGCCTATCAGGTAAAGATCTGAACTGAATGTCCTGGTTTCAGGCTTGTACTCCATCCCAGAATCACAGAAGAGAGAAGACAGCCTTGTGTCCTAGTTTCTCCAGTTCTGAAGCCTTACAACTCCCTGGTTCCCCATCACCACTAAGTTCAGTGAAAAGCCTTCTTTGGCAACATACCCCCTCCATCTGTCAGATCAGGAGGACAGAAGGGAGGGAAGAGGAACCTGATACTGACCTCCACAGTGTGCTGGGTTCCTCTTCATGCACAAACCCAGTGTTCACCGCTTCAAAACAAAGCCAGCACTTCCCTATGTGCACTGCAGAGCACACATCAGGCCCAGGAGTAGCTGAGTGTTTTGGTACACACCTCTTTCTATCAGCTAGAAAGGTGAATCACTGAATAGAGGCTGATCAGAACAAGATGTCTGAGAAAAACTGTGATCAGGAGTATCTCCTCCTCTGCCTTCTATAGAACTCTGAAATGTCCTGAAGCTCTTTTCCCCCTTTCTTTACTCTCCCCCTTTCTAGGCTCAAGATACCTTTGCATGACATCTTTTCTGGTGCTGTCCTACACATTTCTCTCTTCTGACCACCACCCCACAAACTCAACAGGAGGGCAGGTGAGCACAAGACAGAGCTGATCCCTGCAAAGCTGGGCCATACTCTGCTGCTAACTGTGAAAACAAACTTCTTGGATGACCTTGCATGAGTTCCCATGAGCTCTCAGTGTCAGCTGGGGTGCAGTTTTCAACAAGTCTCTGTTCTGGACAACCCTTGATGATTTATGTAACTTCCAGTACCAAACAGGATTTCACACCTTGGCAGCTAGTCCTTCTGAGACACCTTTGTCTTCTCCCATGCCTTTGGAAAAAATCACTGAACAGGAGGTGTTTCTCTGAGCTCGGAATATCACTATTCAGTTGTTACAATGCATCTAAGAGGAAAAAAAAACCCTCTCTGTTGTTTAGCTTTTTTTTTTCCCATGCCCAGTATTTTCAGCATCTGCACTTCCTACACATTTAGGGTATAAATCAGTTCCCTGATTTCTGCGAGTGACAATCAGGTGACCTGTGTCCCGTTGGTGGCAGAGCGCCGCCTGGTGGCGCGAAAACGAAACAGGGGCCTGTCGCGACAGCGCGACACGACAGCACACCTGTCGCAGCCGAGAGCTGCTGTGGACAGAAAATATTGAAAGGGAAACAGATGCCTTTCTTTTCTTTTTTTTCTCTACGGCAACAGGATTGCTGTGAGCCTAAAGGAAAAGATGAGTTGTAAGGAGTATTGGTTTTTCTTAGATCCACCGATACAGTTGAAGAAAATTATCAAGTTTTCATGCTTGAAATCTCTTTCTAACCTGAGGCATTTTAAAAGACACCTGACTAAAGGGCTCAGATTAAAGCTTGACTCCAGGACACATTAGCTACATGATACGGCAACAGGATTGCTGTGAGCCTAAAGGAAAAGATGAGTTGTAAGGAGTATTGGTTTTTCTTAGATCCACCGATACAGTTGAAGAAAATTATCAAGTTTTCATGCTTGAAATCTCTTTCTAACCTGAGGCATTTTAAAAGACACCTGACTAAAGGGCTCAGATTAAAGCTTGACTCCAGGACACATTAGCTACATGAGCTGGTCTCAGCCATTACTTTTTTTTTGCTGAAATCCTCTGTTATGAGATGGAGAGAGTGAAATGAAAGCTTCTGTGCCACTGCATCTGAGCCCTGGAAAAGGGAACCTGGGGAGCAGAAGAGGGGAATTCACAGTTTCACTGACCTTTAGCTACCTTGTGACTTGCCAACCAGGCTACCACTTGATGAAGGGGGCAGGGACCTACATAATGCTGCCACAGCAAATGACTTTTTTTAAAAAATAAGATCACAAGAGCTTCCCATAAATCTGCAGCCCCATGAACTAGGCTGAAAAAAACCTTCATATTCCCCAGAGAACCACCAGACAATGACAGCTATTCACTGTCATTCTATAGATGAATTTCTAACGCAGAGTCAACATCATCAAATGAATTATGTCAGTGAGATGAAAGCTGTGGGGTAGTGGTTGTTTTGTGGTTTTGTGGATTTTTTAGATCATTATTACTAAACTTTCAGAAGAAAGGCTCGGCAAGATACAGTAGCTTGATACAGTAACTCTTGTGTTGCTGATGCTCCTGGAAAACAGCATCACCAGCAGCTGACAAGTCACTTGTTAACCAGAGGAGTCAGAAATAAGAACAAGGACACTTCTAACCCTTCAGGTTTAATACCTGCTGTGCAGGTTTGTTGTGGTTGCCAGTACTTAGGTGAGGCATAAATGGCAAACACAGAGGCTCTGAAAATGACACGGATCTCATTCATCCTGCCTACCACCAAGGGGACTGGATTCCTTCAGCTGGAAAACTTTCAGCCAGTATTTCTCTGAAGGTTTGCCAATTCTGAACTTGGAGAATCTGATAGAATTGCTATGAAAAAGGAAAGAAATAAAGCTACAGACACAGAGTCTGAGAGCTTACATATATCCCATGATAGTACTTGGACCCACCTTAAAAGTGTAACAACCCACTTGTCGCAGTAATTTCCAGGCGTTAAAAAAACCCAAACAACAAACAAAACCAAAACCAAGGTCTATGTAGCCTACTGGTAAGAGAAATAAAGTGGCACTCATGAACATCTGGCTAGTCTTGTTGCAGGCTCTTGCAACAAGCAGCTATGAGAACTGCTACAAAGAACTGGCAGCATGAATGCTCTGTACCTGCATCTTTCTCTTGACAGTCTCAAAGGGGAAAGAAAGTGTCTGTGCCACAGCAGCTGCTACACAGCCATTTATGAAGTTCTGAAGAGGAGTGAAGTGAACTATGGGTTCTTGCCAGACTTTGTCCAGACTGATGTAAACAAAGAGTGAGCCTGCAGAAAATGGGACAGCACCTAGAAAGCAAACCAGACAGGTTCATATCAACACACTGTACACTGAACAGAGCTGCTCACCACAGAACCTAGGGAGATGGGAGGAGCCACTGCACGTTTACACCAATTTACGTTTACCAGTTTACGTTCCTCAAACCCAATCCAGATTCTGAACTTTACTCTTTAGTCCCTGGTTTACCACTGAACACCCATGTGTAGCATCCAGATGTACTGATAGAGACATACATTTACACACTAAAATGTGCATGCTGGCAGAATAATCAGCTGATTTAGTCTCATGACAGGTCAGTTCCTTCTCCAGGTTCTCTCTTTTGTGACAAGCTCTTTCTCAGACCAACCCAACCCTAGCACTTGTAAACACTGCTGCCTCTTCAGTCAAGCTGATGAGGGATATTCTGTCCTCTTTTGCTTGTCTCATGCTCTCATCAATTTTATAGCAGGATTATACATTTAAATCATTATAAATATAATATTATTGTTGTTGTTATTATGCACTTTTATAAAGTCATATTGTGAAGAAGTGGACTGAAAGTTAAATAGCATTTTCAAAAGCTATGGAGAGTAAATAAATAATCAAAAAGTCAATTCAAGTGAAGATAAAATATAACTAATCTTCACTTTTCACATCAATTATACAGCACGGCTCACACTGGTTTCACTCAACAGCTTGGGAGACACTCACACCTAGACAGGAATTAGGAACAAAGTGTGTGTATATATATCTATATCTATAGATATACACACACACATATATATCTTTAAGAGTTTAATGGTGAAAATTGTGCATCCAAGCACAACTAGATCACCTGTAAAATAGGAAAAGGGTATTTTGCTGAACACTTAACCACACATAAAATGCTATGCACTTGGTCATAATTTGAAGCAAAAAAGCTGCAGCAGAGGTGATCAGTATTGCAGTGCCTTGTAAATCTACACATATTCTACAGGAAAATATTCCTATTTGTTTTTGAAATCAAGTGAGCAAATGAACACCCTACATAGCTGCAACGAACAACAGGCAATGAGGTGATTTCCCCCCATTATTATTTACCCAGTATAGCTGGTGAAACACCACGGTAGAGTGCCAGGAGTCCTTCTTGATGATAAATTTTGTAAAAAGCATGAAGAATTCCTTCATAAGATGGTTCCAGTCGGTTCTGCACGATGAGCCGTGTTTTAATCACGTCTGTGGGGTATGTCACGATGGTGGCAACCATGCCAGCCAGGCTTCCTGCCACGATGGCTCTCCAGTGGGAGATGTGCCCCAACTCATCCGTAAAAAGTATTACAAGTCTAAAGGCAACACATAAGAGAAGTGTTATTACTGACACTATGAACAAAACACATGAAAAATTAAGGCAGATAGTTCTTGATGCAATTGTTCCTTTGTATTTCCATCTACAGGACGAAAATTACTATGAATTAAAACATGTCTGCAAGAAATTATCTGATTATCAGTCATCAGTTAGAGACATCAGCCCAACCCACCAGTCACCACGCAGAAGAAATATGTAGATAGTGTCATCACAGGCTTTCTGAGAACAACTGAACCTTCCTGTACTGCTTGTGTTGCCACAGAAGGTCCATAGGGATACACCTCTACAGAAAGCTTATGTCCAGGCACTATTATGCTCAGGGAGTTAAGTCTAAATTTGAAATGTTGAAATTGAAGCAGAGAGTTTTAAAGGCTACACACAACTCATGCATTTGAGCTGCACAGAAGGACTTTGCAATGGCAGCCTAGAAACACTTCCCCCTTCTGCATCAGGAGAATTGTCACAGAGGCAGCAAGAAACAAGTAAAAACATGTGAGAGAAGAGTTTTAGCTGGAGGTAAAGAAAAGTATTATTCTATTTTGGAAGCATTAACTAAACTGCCCAAACAGCAGAACTACATTTAACCCACACGGTGTAACCATGTCCAGAATGAAATAAGTTGCAAATATTCACAAGTCATTGCTTGCTCAGTTGATTATTTTTTCACGTGAGTGTGTGTTTTCTGCTACATGACAGAACCCTGCATCTACTTGTCTGAAGCCCTGGAAGAGCCCAGCAGGGCAGAAAGCAAAGCCAAGCAAAGTGAAAGGGCATAAACTTTTTTTGCCTATGTGTCTCGTACAGCCCCTGAACCAACACAGCCTGATTTTCCTGTGTGCACACAGGTGCGTGGGGAGGGTGGTGGGGTGTCTTTGGCACTACCCAGGTAACATTTAAAACTGCCATGGAAAGACAGAGCCTGTGCACAGTAACTGCTGATGGAGTGTGGAGTCAGCCACCCCTCCTTCCCCAGCAGCTCTCCCCACACCACTGTCCCCAGGGCTGCTGGCTCTGCTCACCCTGGTCCTTCTGCAACTGGCATTCGTTTACTTAAGCTACCCTGGCATATTTCTCTTTTTGTGTTTCTTGCCTTTATACACACCATTCTCCCACCTGAAAACACATTAAAAAACCACCAAATAACATATTAAGAAATAAGTACAGGCACCTTTTATTTAATTTCTTGACAGCTTACTTACTTCCACCTGTAAATCTCTATGCAAACTAGAGACAAACCATAGCCTTGCAAAGGGAAGAAACTGTTTCAAGCTGAACAAACAAGTTACTTTGCTCAAAATCGACTAGTTTGTACTGATTCACACACAGCCTTTTCAGGGAGCTTTAAATTACATTTCAAATCACTGTCTGTGCCCTCCCACTGCTATTATCCCTCCCCTTGCTTGACCACTGCGGGTATTAAGGCACAACAAAGCTGTCCAGCTCCAGAGTCATTTGTCTGTCGCCTCTCGAGGGGCACAGGCAGCGCTGGGCAGTGATGCTGGTTGGACTTGATGATCTTAGCGATTTCCTCCAACCCTGATGATTCTATGGTTCAATGATTCCATGACTTGCTCGGGCAGGCGAGAGCCAAACCCAGCTCCAGCGAGCCCGAGCCGCAGCCCAAGGGAAAACCCATCCGGGCAGAATGTCATGTGCTACCTTGAACAGCTGACTGTGATAGGAAAATAAGAAGGAGGAAGCCCAACCCCCAGAGCGGCAAAACATGCTGGTGCGTGCGAGCAGTCAGGCACTCCCTGCACCGGCTGGGAGACACGGGCAGCAAAAGGGAATCCTAGGAAACAGCACGGTGGGCAGAGTATGCTCCGTGTTGGTCCTGCTCAGCCCTTCCAGCGTTTGGTTTAATGTCTGTGTACTATCGGAAACAAGATCTTAAAACAAGTAATGTCACGTACCAACTTCAAACCCGACTACATTTCCTTAACTACATAATAGGGTAAAATATTTGAATCGCGATGCTGTTATTTCCTTCGATACAGACAATATAAATACGTGAGAGCATATAAATGAATAAAATAAACTACACAGAACAGATGCGACAGCCACATCTGTAAAGAAGAGAGGCGCCAGCCACATCTGTAATTTAATTTCTAAGGAAACCTCAGCAGAAGAGGCTTAACAGACTATGGACCCTTCATCACATGCAGAACACCTAGGACAATATGCAATTGCTGGCAAAGCACCTGTGCAATATCTGGCGAATCACCAGGCGCTAACAACAGCTCTGCAACAACCAAACTAAACAAGCGAAGTTCTTCGCCAGGGTCCGCGTCCCTGGGGAGAGGAGGCGCAGAGCCCGCTGCTCACCCGGCCGGGACACACACACCACAGCGCCCTGAGCTCTGCCCCGCGCCCTGCTCCTCCGGCACAGAGCGCGGGCGAGCGCGTCCCTCCCG